TTTATCTGACAGTAGTGTTGTCTTTGATATTAAGTTGGATAATTTATATTAATATGTCCTCTATTTCACTGTGACCAGACCTATTTATCTGATATTTATCTGTTTATAATTAAAAGTGATCTCAGTGAGTGTGCAAACTGCCTAATGGCATTCAGTGTTAATCCAGCAAAATAGTGCTTTCTTACCTATAGGCAGCCTCGCCTCTGTCAGTGCGCCCCAGGGCAGCTGTGGCTACAATGTAGCTTGCCATCACCAGTGTGTGAACGTGTGTGTGAATGGGTGAATGACTGAATGTAGTGTAAAGCGCTTTGGGGTCTTTAGGGACTAAGTAAAGCGCTATACAAATACAGGCTATTTACCATTTACCATAGGTACCTTTAAAAAAATTATTTTAACAAATACATTTTTGGCTTTCAAAACTATTTAACCCTCTTTAAAAATAAAACTCTAAACTCTTGTTACTTGTTTTTTCTATCAGAACCTTGCCATGTTCCTCAGCATGTTAGTTGCCTGGATGATCCCAGATGTACCACGATCTCTGCGGGAACAGCTGAAGAAAGAGAACATGTTGCTGATGGAGTTTCTGCTGACTCAAGACCAAGAAGCACGTGCCAAAACTCACTCCACAAAACCCTCAGCCCCCTACTTCCCCACCAACATAGACATTGTGGTGGAGGCACCACCAGAAAATCAAGAAGAAGTACAAGTGGAGGAAGAGGAAGTGGTGGGGGTTGAGATCAATTTGGATGCAAGGAGCAGAGATAGTGACAGTGATCCAGAGATTGGAAATGTATTGGTAGAAGGTGGAGTAAATGGTCTAGAAGAGCGAGGAGATGAAGGTGAAGAGGAAAACAGAGAGGCCGAAGGAACAGAAAAGGAAGGAGAAGGAGATGTTAAGGAGGAGGATGGGAAGGAAGAAGGTGGAAAGGAAGAGTTTGAGCAAGAGGAAAGTGATGAAAAGGAGAAAGGAGGGCAGAGAACAAATGAAGATGAAGCAAAGGAAGTTGAGAATGAAAATTTTACTGTAGATCTGGACGTCTTCATGAGTGAGCTGGGCCTCTTAGGTAAGAGGAGACAATTTAATAACAGAGCAGAAGTTCTTCTTTCTTTGTTCATCTTGTCTGTGAAACATATTGTCTGCATCGTACGATTCATTTTTTTGTTTTTTGTTATATAGATGAAGAACCCTCATCGGGCACAATTAAAGATATGGAGCTTCCCCGCTCAGGCTCCAAACAAGAATGCCAGAAAGATGCTGAACCTCTGTCACATTCATCGTGTAAAAGAGGATCATCCCAGAGTCTGAAGATCTCCACAGAAGGGATTACAACAACAGATGATGAAACTAAGAGCTTCTCATTAATTGCACCTCCTCCCAGAGAGCCAGGCTCAAAGGCCAAGGCCCGATGCTCCACCCTGCCTTCTCGCCACAGAGGGGCTGAGGCTTGCTACAGCCTGCCAAGGCCCAGCCACTCCACCAGCCTCACCAGGTTCCAGCAGAAGTCCACACTTATTCCCCTGGTTTCCCTGGACCCTTCATCATCAGCTTCGCCCAGCCCATTATCTCCCACACACACACAGGCATCCGCATCATCTACACAGCCTCTACTTGCCCAACAGCACAAAGCCTCAACTGAACTGTTTGTGCTGAAAGGCCCTCCACCCCAACAGCCACGCTCCAGGGCCAAAGCCCGGTGCTTAACCCTGCCTCCAAGACAAAGAGCACAGGGTCCTGAGGAGCACTCTAAAAAGCCTAGCCATTCCACCAGCTTTACAAAGCTGGAAGACCGTATCCCGCCTTCCCCCAGTGAACTGAAGCGCAACAGACCAGTATGAGGAGAGCTGCAAGGCGAAGTGGAAGAGAAGGAGGGTGGAGGAAGGAGGGAGAGGACTATTCAGATAACCTTCTCCTGTCTGTGCCTGGAGGCACACCCTTCAGTCCCCACTGCATATACCTGTGGTGTGAAAGGAAACATAAATGGAAACTCCTTTTTATCATGTTACTCCTCATTATACTGCTCAGTGGTTTAGGGCTAAACCTAACAATGGGGGTGCTGGGCAATTCAGAGAAAGACTGCTCTGAAAGTCTCCTTGCTATGACCTGTGAAAAAAAACCCACTGGACCGTATTCTGTTTTATTTCTGTGTATATTTTTGGGCTGTTCTTTCTTGCCTACACTCACATCTCAGTAGCCAATGCTCCTCTGTTACTTCCAGTCCAACACATGCAGCAGTGCTGCCTTGTAGGCCAGCTGAAGATGAAACTGTATTCATTGCAGCTAGAATCAGCTCATGTGCTTTTAGATTTACGTTTATCTTTAGATGTTTTGATATATAAACACATGAACTTATAATAAAAGACCCCCATGTTTTTTATGTTTGTTCTTCATTGTAAAGTTGTGTAGCCTCAAGGCTGTTTTTCCTTGGACAAGGGCTTTGATTATTGACAGGAAACACTTAAATATTATACTGATCGCAGCGGATTTTAAAGTCAGTATTTGTTATGGCTGCCTTTAACGTAGCCTATGCTCTATAAGGCAAGCTTTTTTATAATTTCTTTAAGTAGTCTTCAGGAATAGTTCTCCGGGCTAACTGAAGGACATCCAAAGCTCTCCTTTGTATGTTTGCGTCCTTTGTGTTTCATTCTCTGGTAAGATAATCCCACACTGCTTCAATGCTCTGGGGAGGCCAATCTATGACTGATAGTGCCTCGCGGTGTGTTTTTACTTCACTGGCAGTGTGTGCACACCATGCCAAAATGTTTTTGTTTTTTATTATTATTGTAGAGTCAACTTAAGAAAACCTGGAGAACTATTGCACAAGACCTCTTTAAAGAAATATGAGAGAATCTGGCACCTTGGAAGCAAAATGTAAATAAGTGAGGGGTGTTTAAGACTTTTCGCACAGTTTCGTATGAATCATATAGTGGTTTACATGTTGACCTAACAAGATTTTATTCCTGGGAGGAGACACAAATCTCTTTGATGTTGTGTCAGGAAGGGCAAAATAAATAAACAGATCAAAATCAAAATATACCCACTGAAATATTCAGTTACCTGCTATGACGAGTAAAAAAGCAGCTTGTTCTTCTCTGAGAAAGCAAACTGAACAAAAGCGTTCAGCAGACCCACCACTACATTTATAACACGTCACTCATGTACAGTATATTGACAAGCAGGTCCATGTATTATGTTGTCTCTATCGCCACCTTCTGGTGTATGTTGAAACAAAACTATCTACTGTTCTACATTTTATTAAGGATGCTTTAGTAACGAGTTGCTTTATGGTCACTTTTATTTTTTCAACATCTGAAGCTTGACATTGTCAGTGGGAAATCACAAAAATAATCACAAGACTGCTTTAATAAGTTCCTTGAAATTATTACTTTTATTTCCGCACAGAAAACTGAAAAAGGAAATACTTTCTGTTAACCAAAACCAAGTCCAAGGTCATCTCATTTGTATTAATAAGTTTGTTATCAACCCAGTTAGCTATGTATACAGAGTGATGTTTCACTCTCTTTGTGTGTCAGTTGCTTTTCTGCCCTGGCTCCTCCTCCCCTGCCCTGCCAATGAATGGGACCTTTGTGGGGGTTTTCCTGGCATTCCAAGGGAATTCTTTTGCAGGTGAGGGTACGCAAATACTCCCACCCTCTGACTCTTGCAGCTTACAAGTCAACATGCAAATATGCTCCAAGGTGTTTGCAGTGCTCAGCTGTGCTAATCTCAAAAGACTTGCAGCAACTACAAGGGTGTGATCACAAGAGCAGACAAAGTGGGAGGGAAGGATCCCATTCAGGTGAGCGACCATACGCATGCCTAGAAACATGCTCACTGGAGTCTAGTGCCACACAATGAGACACATTGTACAGATGAAGTGAGGCAGCAGACTGAGCTGATATTTGCTTTCTATAACTATGAAGAATGGCTTTACAATAGCAGGAAGAGGGATCGTCTAGGATCACAGGACAGTGCTGTTACCTGGTGTGGATAAGAGGAGTACCACTGAGTTGTATGAGTAACAGACTGGCAGAGGAAAACACCAGACACTACTCACACTGGGACACTGAAGGTGAGTGTGTGTTTGGGAAGACATTTCCATACTTAGTTTTTATGTATTTTGTTACCTAAACTAAAGGATGTAATAACTTCAATCAAGCGGAAGGCTGGAATTATTGAAGTTTACACCATATTTAACTGTTTCTCTAGTTTCATCATTCTTTGTCGCGTACACTCACTCGCTTTGTCTGCCTCAGCTTCCCTCTCTATTGTTAGAACTTGTCAAGACAACACCGCTTGCGGGCACATTTGACTGTTCTTATGCTGACTTATTAACTACCTTTGAGGCTCAGGGACACACTGATATGACTCAGTCTATCGTAGCGAGTAAATTTAGAGCAAATATTTTAACTGATCATTTAAACCAGTTACAATCCAGCTCGCTTTAAGTACTTAAGTACTTTTCTCACTGCTCAAAAAACACACTTTTATCTACAGTTATGATCAGAGTCCACGAGAAGAAGGACTTTGTTTCTCCTTAATCTCCCTTTTGAATTGCTCCTCACCCATCTTTATCTTTCTTGCCCTTTGATATCTACGCAGTTCTTCTTCTGTATATTGCTCACTTCATTCATGACTGCCAGTACATCGAGAATTGATATTCGAGTTGAAGATAGTGGAAAGTCGAATCAAAAATTGCTGCTGTGATGAAAAGTTGGCACCATATGGTAGATTTCTTGGCTGTGAATGGAATGTGCTTGGATCATAGCAGCAGCCTGATCTTGATGCCATCTAGTGACCGCTGTTAAGTTTCAAGAATATGAACGTGGCTCACTCAGTGGCGTCACACTACTTTGGCAGGAGATCTTCATGATAAGAAAAGAGGGAAATGTAACAAGAAAAGAAAAGAAAAAAATTCATTTGAATTTGGAAACAAGATTTTTATTTATTTACTTGAGTAACAGTGATAGTTAGATGTAATTTTTGTGTGTTTTCCAGCATCATGTTGCAGACAGTTGGGGAGTGGATCTGGTGGGACCGTTTGTGGCTGCCAGGAAATTTGTCCTGGTCTGCTTTAGAGGACAAGGAAGGTCGTGTCTATGCGAAAGTGTCTCATCTTTATGCCTCTCTACCCTGTGCCCTTTGCCTGCTTGTAGTCAGATACTTGTTTGAAAGGTAAGACCGCAAAGTATGTAAGTAAATATGCCTGTGTGTCAATGAGATTAGTAACGCAGTCATCTGGTTTTAGAATCCCAGGACTTTTTTGTGTTTAGGAGGAAGTGACCAGTTTTTGGTGCTGTTTCAGGTACTTTGCCACACCACTGGCTAATTTTTGGGGAATCAGGGACAAGATACGTCTCCCAGCAGAACAAAACCCTATACTAGAAAAATACTTCTGCAGCCAAACACGGGTTCCTTCTCAAGTGAGTTTTACTGCGAACACATGGATAATACAGTGATGTGAAGCCCCCACCCTGATCTCTTTTTTCAGAGATATTTGTTACACTTATATTTTTTCAGGTCATCAACCGCAGCACGGTGGCACGGTGGTTAGCACTGTTGCTGCACAGCAAGAAGGTCCTGAGTTCAATTCCACCATCAGGCCGGGGTCTTTCTGTGTGGAGTTTGCATGTTCTCCCGGTGTTTGCGTGGGATCTCTCCGGGTACTCCGGCTTCCTCCCACCGTCCAAAGACATGCAGCTTGTGGGGATAGGTTAATTGGATAATCCAAATTGCCATTAGGTGTGAATGTGAATGGTTGTCTGTCCCTATGTGTTAGCCCTGTGACAGACTGGTGACCTGTCCAGGGTGTACCCCGCCTTTCGCCCTATGACAGCTGGGATAGGCTCCAGCGACCCTGAAAAGCGGAAGCGAATGGATGGATGGAAACAACCTTTATTATTAGACAAGGATAATCAGAGTAAATGCAGTTTTTGAATTATGCTTTTTATTATTAAGGGGAAAAAAGTTGTCTGGACCTATGTGAAAAAGCAATGACCCATAAACCCCACAACTGGTTGTGCCACCCTTGTTATCAAGAACTATAATCAAGTCTTTAGAATAACTGAAACTTCATCTTTCACATTACAATGGACGGCTTATTTAAGGTCATGACAGAGTATTTCAATTGGATTTAAGACTGGACTTTGATTACGCTAGTCTAAAACCTTTTATTTAAAAAAAAAACTTTTTTTTGAGCCATTAACGTAAATTTTCTGGTAGGTTTCAGATATGTGTCTCCCTATCTGACCGCGCTTGAGCTTCAGTCATCCAGGTCTTGAAGCAGGAGAGCAGTTCTAGGATATGATGCTCTTTTTCTGAAATGCTGTGTTAGTTTTATGTCACATGTAACAGGACTTAAACCAGTCCACAGAATATTTTCCCCAAATATGAGCCGAGCCTTTGTGTTCTTTTTTGGTCAGCAGTGGTTTTCTCCTTGAAACTCTCACATAGATGTCATGTTCGACCAGTCTCTTTCTATGGTTGAATCATTAACTCCTCATCATTAACCTTAACTGAGGCAAATGAGGTCTGCGCTTTTGCGACCTCCTGGACGAGCCTCCTTGGAGTGATTTTGATAGGTTGGATAGTCTTGGGAAGGTTCACCATTGTTCCAGGTTTTTCTCTATTTGTGGATAAGTGCCTTTATTATGGTTCAAGGAGTCCCAAAGCCTTTATAACCCTTTCCTGAAATGTCAGGAAAGGGTTGATGGTATTGGATTGGTTATTTCCTTGAATACTTAAAAGTGTAATTTAACTGCTGCATTTACTATTTACTCAGGTTATCTTTGTCTAATAATACCATTTGTTTGATGATCTGAAACATGTAAGGGTGACAAATATGACAAAAAAAAAATAGTAAATGATTGAAAGTACAAAAGAAAAACAAATCCAGATTTTTGTTCAAATAAGCTACAGGTAAAATGCATTTTAATGGAACATCATAAAGTCTTTTTACGTGTGCATCACATCCCTTTAAACATGTTTGGTTGCCACAAATTTTAGTGGAATTGCACTGTTAAAGTGTGTTAATAATCAAAGACTAAAGCTTACTGCTTGTGTAACCTTGGAGAGGGTGCGTCCAAATGTGGAAAGGTTATAAACACTGGAATGTCTTCTGTTGTGTCTCAGGCTGACGTGTGGTCTCTGTGTAAGAAGACTGGCTGGCCAGAAAGGAGAGTTCAGGTGTGGTTCAGGAGGAGAAGGAACCAGGAGCGACCGGGGCTTCGAAAGAGGTTCAGTGAAGCCAGGTGAGCGTATGTCTGTGTGAACTGAAGATGCACTGATGTGAAAAGATTAATGTCTATGCAAATATGTGACGTTATTGCTTTTGCCTGTCAACAGCTGGAGATGTGCATTTTATCTTTTTGCATTTTTTGGTGGAATCCTAGCTCTCTATGATGTAAGTACTGGGACTGTCCTTACAAGGCATTAGTGAACAGCCAGCTTGGTTGGTTTGTTTCTCTGATATTCACGTCACACTCTCTGCTTTACTGTTTTCCTTGGATTTAGAAACCCTGGGTTTATAATCTAAGGGAAGTTTGGGCAGGTTTTCCTAAACAGGTACGTGCCTTTACCTTTGGTATTTGCGATGGATTACACAGTACAGCATGATGAATGACACAAAAACACACCTGCTTGTCCCCACACAGTCCCTTCTGCCATCACAGTACTGGTATTACATGTTGGAAATGGGCTTCTATCTTTCTTTGGTCTTCAGTCTCACATTTGATGTGAAACGAAAAGTAAGTGTACAAACGTGTAAAGTGACAATGAAGTAGTTTCATTTATTTTAATCTTG